AAGGGGAAAAAACTCAACCCAGACTCTAAGTTTAGGGTCTGGTTCGCAGAGTATGTAGTTAAAATTTTTCCCCAATTATTCAATGGGAAAAAATAAAATAAACTCAGTTAAGTAAAATAAAATTGTAATCAAAACTTTTGGAATTGTAATGATTTCTTTTTTAAAAACAAAATGTTTTGTTTAAAAAACTTTTTTTAAAATTAAATAACTCATTTTTGTCTTGTGAACTTAAAACGTTATTTGCCAAACATAAACTTTTATTTGCACACACCAGAAATCTTTTGTTGTGATTTTAGGCCCTGCCCATGACGTCATGTGAGAATCACAAGCAAAACTTTGAGTCACAAACAAAAACTTAGAATAGCAAGAAAAGATTTCTGACATGCACAAATAAGTTTGTTTTGCAAAAAAAATTCCCTTCATAAGACAAATGTGTGATTTAAATGTTTAAAAAAGTTTTAAGCTAAACTCAGTAGGCTTTTCTCATAGTGACATGCATTAACAATTCAATTTTTGCTTTTGTTTTTCATTTTTCTGCATTTCCACATTAAAGTTTGATGCAGCTCTGCTTTCCTGAATGGACCATCTTCATCTCCACTGCAGCAAACAGGCAGCTCTTTTTTTTATAGATTACAGTATACTAAAAGGTTGCATTGTGCCCTTGTTTATATTTTTAATAGTGTAATTCTGTAAAGACAAAATATGTAAATCAGAACTAAACCTCCAGCTCTGATTTACATATCTTGCTAAATTGCGGGTTTGAATATTGCAATACTTTCCTATAACATAATAAACCTGCAGAAAGAAATTACTAATAAAATATCTTACATATGCATAGTTGTATGCTCTGTATAGAGATTTACCTTAGCTTTGATTGTATATTTCACAATTTTGTAATTTATCATTGTTTATTAAACTCTGAAAGCTGTGTGGCTTTGTTAATATTCTGTCCTAGAATGCGGTTAGATGTGCCCTTTTTTCTTTTTTGAGCACCTGCCCCTTTAGTGGTCTCTGCACGGCCCTGCTTGTAGGCTACCGATGTTGGTGTCTGTTTTCAGCTACGTACATTCATTTTGCCCCCAAAAAAGTCGAT